AGACAGTCGTGGATGATCAGAGTGTCTTTTCCTGGCGCGAAGGGCACCACGACACCTCTCCGTCGAGGGAAGGCCAGAACCTGCTCAACCTACTTTATCATATCGCCGAGGACCAAGCACGGAGGGACGGTTATATTCACAGAGGAGTAACATGTAACAGTTGTGGCGCTATGCCGATCCAAGGCATTCGGTACCGATGCGCAAACTGCATCGATTACGATCTCTGTGAGACGTGTGAAGCGATGCAGGTTCACATCAAGACCCATTTATTTTACAAAGTACGGATCCCGGCCCCTTTTCTGGGGAACCCTCGGCAATCCCAGCCTGTTTGGTATCCTGGGAAGCCTGCCATGCTTCCCCGCAGCCTACATCGATCTCTGGCCAAACGTCTGATGAAGGATACCAACTTCGAGAACACGGAACTAGACGCGCTTTGGGATCAATTTCGCTGCCTGGCAAACCACGAATGGGCGGATGACCCTAACAAACTGTATATGGCGATTGACCGCAAGACATTTGATCGATGCTTTGTGCCTAACACATCTGTCCGTCCACCGCCTCCAAGCCTTATCTACGATCGAATGTTTGCTTTCTATGATACGAACGGTGATGGTTTAATTGGGTTTGAAGAATTCCTGAAAGGCCTTGCAAGCCTTAACAATAAAAGCAACGATGAGAGGTTGCGCCGTGTCTTCCGTGGGTATGATATTGATGGTGACGGCTACGTGGAACGGAAGGACTTCTTACGGGTCTTCCGGGCATATTACGCTCTCAGCAGAGAGCTAACACGAGATATGGTGGCGGGCATGGAAGATGACTTCTTAGAGGGCGGTGCACGAGATGTTGTTTTGGGGAGCCAGCCAATCAGTTCTGCATTCCCTGGCAGCATCCCTACAGGAGAGGTGTCTAGAACCGGAGAAGGCAAGCGCGTCAATCATGAAGGAGACATGGAAATCGTGGACAACGAAGGTATCTTGCGCCCCGATGGGACCGACACTGGTGACCGGCATGCCGTTGTTGGTGACGCTGCTGTTAGGAGCCGATACGGAAGTATCCGGCCACTGTTTCCATCCGTCCGGCTACCTGATCAAGGTAGACCCGGAGGCGAGAACGTAGATGATGCCAGCAGCTCTGATGGCTCCAGCTCGTCGGTTGCTACTGACCGCTGGCCTCCGGCCGAACATATCCGCGATGAGGATATTGTGACGGCTCTTGGGGCCTATGTTCCCCTATCAGAGGTCACCGACCCAGTTGACAGGGCTCGGATCGGCACTGCTGTGTACCACCGAATGTTTGACGATGATGATAGACGAGTGGATGCAGCTCGTAGATATGGGATCGATGAGCGGTGGCGGCGAAGAGCATTCTACACCGATGAAGAAGATGGCGCCGCTGCACCTGCAGGCTACGAGACTGATTCAGACGCGCATGATGCATCGGTTGACGATGATCTCGATGACCAACATCCTGAGTTTGAGTCACATCCGCCATCTCCTCGTTCCCGTTCTTCGTCTAAAGTGCGGTTCCAGGACGACGTCACTGATGACTATGACGTGAGGTCAAATCCATCGACATCGTCACGCAGTATACTTGTTGGTGAGCGGTGGGGAGGCTTTGAAATTCCTGAAGTTGAAAGGGACGTTGGAAAGGAAATCTTATACCAAGTGACGCAACAAGGATTTAACGAACTGCTTGATATACTGTTCAAGCCCAAGGAAGACCTGCTCATGGAAGTTTATCGGACGCGCACTGAGCGCAAGATCTGGGCCCGAGAGATCGGGTTGGTAGAGCAAATAGATGCCGGAAAGCATTTCGCCCGACGGGATGGGCGACCCGTGGACGACCAGGTCAAAGAGGAACCAGAGCCTTCCTTGCATGACCCCTTCGGCGACAGGTCACTCGATGAACTGCTTGAACGGGCGGGATATACTATCGGGAGTCCGCCTTTGGAGCCCGTCCGGGACGGACCAATACTTGCTCCTCCGTCACCTGAACTGCGACCCCCGGACGACGATGTACGCCCAACTCACCTCGCTGATCCCGAAGAGGACTCAGCCGAGCCTGCCTTGACCGAGACCCAACATGAAGAGCCGGATTTTGCACCAGCGGTTTCATCACCAGAATCCCCAGTATCAGAACGGAGTCGGTCGCCATCGGTTGAATCCGAGTTTGATCCTACATTGCCACATCATCGTCCAAATGAAGTTACCCAGGAGCTACCCGATACCTCTGCGCCACACTTTAGCGCCTACAATGCTTCGCCAACATACTCCACCTTCCCGCAATCCCTTCCTGCCGAACTTCGCCTCCAACCTAACGGTACACCCTCATTCCCAGCACCACCATCAATAGCCGCCTCCTCCCCCGAAGCAGAAGCAACGGCTCCCAAACTCTCCCCCTCACCGATCCAACCTCTACCCCCTGCTTCCACTTCTACTCTTCCACCTCGAGATGGTCCTACCATGCCTCCGTCTCCACTGATTCTTTCACGCTGGGCCTACCTTAATCGTGTCGAACGTGAAGCAAAAGAACGAGGAGGCACAGGCGCCAAGCTTAGTTTCGAGGAATTCTCGCAGCGTATGGCAGCAGATCGGGGGCGGAGATTGGCATTTGTGGCTAGCTGGATCGAGATGGCTAGCTTCTAGCTGTGACATCCCTGCTGTGTCTTCCTCTATTTGTCATCTTCGTGGTCCAGGGACTGCATATGAACGTACCTGACTTTTAGTTGTGTATATTAATTGTGAAGTATGGAGAAAAGTATGAACTAGACTTTAATCCGATCAGGTTTCTGACGTGAATCTAGACTCTATACTACAGCACTTAAATATTATAGTTCTGATTTTTATAGCCTCGAGGTATTCCTGGGACATCCCTAGCACCCATACCCACAATCAAAATATGTAAGTAAATACAATATATGATGATATAAACGGCGTTGAAGAGGTATAGTTATCATCTTGGTATCAATTTCACCACAGTAAGAAGGAAATAGAAAGTGAAGACAAAAGAAGTCCTAATCTAATCCCAGTATCTAATCACACCATCTAACCCACCAGTGACGACCTTACTCGTCTCTTGAGGATGCCAGTCAAGACAAGTCGTCGCACCGCCTTCCTTACCGCTGGCCATAATTTTGTGGTACATTTTCCCGGTCTTCCAGTCCCAAAAGCATACGTATCCGGCACTGTCGCCGGAGCAGATAAACTGGCCATCTGGAGAGATCTTGAGGTCAATGGCGTAACCAGCGTTGTTGTGGCCGCGGAAGCTCTTCTTTCGGTTTTGGCGGAATTTATCCGTGGCGCCGTAGACGACGATCTGATTGTCGCCGGATTGGAAGGCGACGTATTTGCCGTTTGGATGGGGTGCTGCCCGTGTGAGGGCGAACATGTATGGTTCTGCGATGAACTTAATCGGGACGGGGATGCCATATTCCCAGGCGCGGAGGGATTTGTCGTCAGATGTGGAGATGAAGCGACGATTTTCGTCAACAAAGGTGATGGTATTGATTGCTGCCAGGTGGTGGTCGTATTCTTGAACCAATTCGCCGGAACGGGTATCGAATTGGACGATCTTCTTGTCAGACATACCAGCCAGGAACTCGTGGGAGTGCTCTGCACCAGGGTTGAACCGAACGACGTGTGGCGTCTTGCCGGTAGAGAAACGACCAAGGCACTTGCCATACTCGGTGTCCCAGAGTTTGATCTGGCGGTCGTAGGATGCTGTGAGGAACGTTTTCCCGGTGGGATGGAAATCTGTGTCGGTGATAGCTTTGGAGTGGCCAGAGAAAGTGCGTAGAAGCTCGCGCGAATGGAATGCATCCCAGATCTTTGCCTTGCCGTCCGCTGCAGACGATAGTAAGAGATGGCCGGATTGAGGGAAGAAGCGGAGGGATGTGATAGCTTTGGTATGTGACTTCCAGGTGTGGATGAGCTTCTTCGGGATAAAGTTCTTGACACTGCCAACCTCCTTCCTGAGGTCGACATCCAGATCTTGCGGTACATGCATGTACGTCCGGCCCAAGTAGTCGAATTGCTCGGATCCGTGGAATTCGGTCGTTTCCACCTTGGACGAATCATCCTGGTAGTCTGTCGCTTGCTTGATCATAGCAGGCATATGAGCTGGAGCAATCTCCTCTTCCTCTTCTTCCACGTACTCCTCGTCACTGGCGAGTTCCCGGTCTTCGGCCGCTTCCGTTTCCTCATACACATGGTCATCATCCTTATATTTCGCCCAGGGCCCCAGATAAGCGCCTTCACCCTCGACAATGCTCGAATCACCCTTCCTTTGCCTTTTGGCCCGCAAGGCTGCCGATACCTCTTTCGACGGCTTCATCTGTACGATGTCCCGGCCTCCATAATGTGTCGCCCGGTCCAGATCTCCCACAAACTGACCCGGTACCCCGGGGTTGCGTGTGTATCCTAAACTCTGGAATGTGCGGTGTTGCGCGGCGAAGGTGGCTGCGCTGATTGCTGCTTCCTCTGCGTACCCAGTAGGCACGTTCTTGCGTTTGAGTCCATTCGCGGGACCGTCAGGCTTGAACGGATTCGCTGGACCCTGGTTGGGACGGGAAAGATCGTCGTATGTTGCGTTGTAGGTCAGAGCTTGGGAGGACGTATTAGCGAGCATCATCTGCATATGTCCTTGGTCCTGTACAGTTGTTAGATATCACAAGGCCCTAACAAGCAATGTTTGAGAGTCAAGTTATGTAATAACTAAAGGACACATGGACAAAACGAAGGGGGGAAAGGATGAGAAATTCCGGGGACCAAACCTCTGTATTTACTTCAGGCGCTGCGACAATCTTAGTCGCTGTTGGCGCGGTAGTTTGAGTTTGGGTGTGCGTGGTCTCATCGTCGCTGGACTCGTAGTTAGCCCCTAATAGCGACGCCATGATGGATGGCTATATGAGTTTCCGCGAAAAGAGAACGTGGGATTGGGGATTCGCAGTTGCGCTGGGAAGGTTAGGAACAAGAAGGGCAAAAGCGCGGCGGTAGTTGGATAAGCTAAGTTTCAAAGGCGGCGAGTAGAGTCTAATTTTTCGGGCGGCGAGAGTATCCCACTACGAACACTGCCGTTTCTACACCACCGGCGCTCTCTCCATACTAAACTACACCACACTACTTCTACAGCGATCATTTGTGATGGAAAGGCATACAGAGATGGATTGATATTACAATGGCACAGTAAGGGTATCGTACGCTCTTCATTGGAACACTGCTTGAGTGGTGGTATATACAGCACATCAGACATCAAGAGGAATACAGTCGCAACGTAAAATCAATACACGCAAAAATATCTCAATTGAACTGCATCGTAGCGATGCAGTTTTTCCATCCACCATCCCAGTCTAAGTCGTTATACCAAAAGATTGATCATCACCCCAACCAGTCGTCAGATTTCTTGTCATAGGCATATCCTACATTTCATCCATCTCCCATTGCATGCCCCGGCATACCGGCGGAGCGCCGAGATCGCTAAAATAGACAGACCCAGATTGGCGACATGAGTGCGTCCGGGTACCGTGCCGGAGAGTATTTATCATGCTTCAGCCAGTCTTACTTATCGCAAGACAAATAGCGCATCACGCGATACTTCAGCCAGAATGGCCACCGCGCATCGCATGCTCAATCGCGTCACGAACTCAATGAGATTCGTCGCGGATCAAGGCAACGATCATACTATACAAGTAGAAGAAAAACATCAAAAGGTGGAAACCTAGTTTGATGAAAGATTCCTGATAATCGGTTAGCTGGCATTCCGAGTGAGTGATGACGTAAATCCCGAACAACCGACCTTCTTGTGTACGTTGAGCTTGCGGAAGATCTCGGTCGCATCCAAAAGGTGCGCATTATCGAAAATCCTATACAGTGCAATGTCCGGTTATTATCACCATTCATGAGTAGCTCCTTTTACTCTTCTTCTTTTTATAGAGATGAGGGTTGAAGACGTACTTCTTGGCATTGAATGCCAACAGAGGCAGGTTCAACAATATCGCAAGCCAGTAGCCATTGATTACGAACAAGAAAGTAAGGAAGGCATGAACGGCAGCTTCGGGGATGATGTAGGCGTTGAGACGGTTGCAGAGGTCAATAGGGTTAATGTAGTCACTGCGGGAAAGAAAGGCGGGTTAGCTCCGTCATTTTGTCGCAATCGCTTAGTGGTTTAGAGGTTGGAGCTCCTCCAACCTTAATGCCCGCAAGCAAAGGAGAGGATAGAAACGTACCATTCCAGATCGCTATACATAATGGTGAAGAACACCTGCAGAAACAGGTTGACGGCGTTGATCAACACCGCCAACAGGTAGAGCCACGCTTCGCCGGACATGTTGGGCAGGCTCGAGAGGTTGTGCTCGGGGAATGTCTTAGGAGCTGGAGAGAAGGGGAAAGAGAAAAAAGAGGACGAACTAAGATATAGCCGCTCTTAGGGGTTCGGAGAGGAAGATCGGCTACTCAGAGAGAGTAAGTTAAAGGGGAAGACACCCGGTAGCAGAAGACGTGAAGAGATACTGGAGAAGTGGAAAGTCGAGGCTGGAGAAGGCGATTGGATTGGATTGGATTTCGGACTCGGTGTGGGCGGTGAGAAAGCCTAGAGTAATCAATACACACACTAGTCTCGTATGGTAAGGGGAAAAAACATATGGACATCTATGTACCTATCGAGCATAATAAGTATGTACTCACATGTACGGAGTATACATCCATACGGTACAGAATAGGTACAGAGTACTGGATAGAAGAAATAATTACCGATAAGACCGGTATTAATAATAGAATGCAGGACATGGAGGTCGAATGCGATATCGCTGTGGGATGCCTCAGTCCACGATGCACCTACTATACTAGGTATAGTTTACTACTTACCAGAAGCGGAGTCTCCTCGTCAACACTGCAATCAATGGATGTTCCAAATGGGCAGCTTGCCAGCTACGTATAACACAGGAGTCAAGTTATATTTTCTAATTTCACATACATTATATATGCCTCAACTGACACATTTTAAATTAATCTATGTATATATCTATAATATCATGATGATAATAAAAACTGCCCCTCATATGAAGCCCGCACGATGACGTGGGGGGAACACGTGCTTCCATCCGCATCTGGAGTCTTCTTTCTACTACTGTGTACTAACTGCGTACTACCTGCTCATACCCGTGGACTGATTGGGGTCGCCGTAATAATTCTCATTCCTCATACGGGCATATATACACTTCCGGTGAGTCGTCTCTAACCCCTCAGCGGGAATTAAGGCAAGGGTTAGATGAACATGATATAGGTGAAGAGCAGAAAAAAAAAATCATACCAGCAAAATGAAAAAGAAAAAGAAAAAAGAGCTATAAGAACATGATACAATATCTTGTCACCACTCAACACCAAACAATAATGGTCAAGAATAACACCAGTCTCGCCGAACGTAAATTAGACGAAGCGTGATGCATTCATTACGTGACTACCGCTTCTCAACGAGGAAAACATGCATCGCTCCGTAGGCAATCACGATGAACGCCCCGGAGATTATACCCAGTCCAATAACATCCTTCCAAAACGCCAAAGTATCGAACCCGAAAGCGCTCAGGATGGAGGCCCCTGGAACCTCAATGTCTAGCCCATACTTATGGTCGATCAACGTGAGGAACGTCACTTCGTTGACAATCAACGCCTCGAAGCCGTAGTGGAAGATGGACAGCTAGGATTTAGTTAGCTTTTTCATCCTACCTTCGGGAAGCTCAAGTATGTATAAACTTACAGTTTGTAGCCACAAAGCGGACTTAGGAATTGCATCGTGGTTGAGTAATAGACCAGCAAACAACAGACTGAAGAGCATCACCAAACTGCCAATCAAATTGGCCACTCCTCCATCGCGGAAGACGATACCGATGAAAAGACAGATGTTGGCAGCTGCAAGGTTGAAGAGGACAAGTACCAAGATAAATCGGAGGAACTCTGGCCATGCCGGGATCAGTCCGGTCATGGGATACACGATCACCCCCATGATCACCGGGGGCAGGAGTCGCAGAGGCACAATGTCGAATACCACCTTAGCCGCAAAGTACGTAACAGGGTGATAGTAGCCATTCGCCCGTTCACGGACAAATAGGAGTCGCTCTGCTGAGAAAACCGTGAGGCTAGTGAGTGTACTGAATCCGAATAAGGCGAGGACGAAGAAAAAAAGACCCAAACGATTTTGGAAACCTTTGATATCGTCTGTCAATCCATAAAACAGGTATCCGCACAGCACAGCGAGTAGAATAGAGATGGCATAATGAGTTAGCATCAGCATTGGATTCCGGTACAGGTTCCGCCAAGTCCGCTGAGACAGAATGAGAAACTGACGGAACAGGCCGACCCTAGCATAGCTCTTGGGTGTACTGATAGGGGCCCCTGAGAGGATGTCTGAGTTGGCCGAACCATTCGCGGTACGAGCATGCTGAACGGCTGCTACGATTTCGTCATTCACGGAACGAGCAACGTCTGAGCTGGAATAGTTGGCAACCAAGATGTCGAGATCAGTTTGACCTGGTGCAATTGGAGGTAACTCATCAGGGTCGTCAAGGATCTGGGGTGGAACATGGCCCGGCTGACGAGAAAGGCGTAACCATTGCTGAGGGTTCTCCGCCACATCACCTACATCTTCCTCATCTGTTTTGGGGGTGGCAGGACGTTCACGATCTTTCTTCCGGGAATATAGTTGCGTATCTTGGCGTTGCTTGAGAGAGACCCGGCGGCCATTCTTCGGCCTTCGATTGGCCTCTAGTGTGCTACTAGAATTATCCTCGATACTTGCGTTTGATGCACTAGCAACTGACTTGACAGCCCGCAAGCTGCTTGATGCAGTCTTGGGTGGGTCTGAGCGCACGTCTAACAACGGAGAGACGACCTCGTCGGTATGGGACCGGGTGACGCTGGCATGCATCGTGAGATCCACGAGATAATCAGCAATATTAAATCCAGGAGGGCAAGAATATCCGGAATTGTCGAAGTACTGCTGGCATGTGGAAAAAGGACCCGAGTATACAGTCTTCCCATGTGCCAGGAGAACAAGTCGGTCGAATAGCGCAACGATGTTGGATCGCGGTTGATGAATAGTAAAGATGACGGTCCGATTATAAGTCTTCGCTAGGGTCACCAGACATTCAACTACATTGAATGCATTGTAAGCGTCCTATATAAAACATGTCAACAATTACTGGGTACACAGTTATTCGAGATAATTCTTGTCTTACCAATCCGCTAGTGGGCTCATCCAGAAAGAGAATGCTAGGGCTAGTGACCAGTTCGCAGGCGATTCCCACTCGGCGCTTCTCGCCACCAGAGATACCACGGCCTTTTCCTTCTTCTGAGCCAATTAACTGGTCCCTGATATGATGGATACCAAGCTGCTTTTCAACCTCAAACACTCGCTGCTCTTTGGCTGCTCGACTCATGTCCCGGGGAAGCCGTAGTAGTGCGCTCGTCAGGATCGTTTCATGTACAGTTAGGGTGGGGAGCATGGTGTCTTCCTGATCGACAAATCCTATCGTGCTCTTGAAATCATGGTCATTGACCTTTTCTCCATTGATATAAAAGTCACCGCGGACTGCACCCCGCTTGTTTTTTCGGGCAAGAATATCAAGGAATGTCGTTTTTCCCGCACCTGAAGCTCCCATGATGGCTGTAATCTGGCCTGGCTGCGAGACACCTTGAATACCAGAAAGTATTTCCTTTCCATTCAAGTAATAAGACACATTATCCCAATATAGCGCCGCTGGCTTGTGATCCGTCAAGAGTTTGGTGGCCTCATCATCCGAATCATCGGAGAGAGGCAACTGAATACGTCCCCGATACGATCTGCGTGATAAGTACCACACGGTCAGGATTACCGCCACAACAAAGAGTGCACAACCAGCGATAACTCCAGCGATGAGGGGTGTGTTGATTTGTTTTACGGGGCGCGTGTATCCAGGTACATCTGTTTTGTACAAGCACTCTCCAGACTGACAGTTCAGGAAGATACTTTCGTCCCCGAAAACGCTCTTGATCAAGTTATCCATGGCGGGTTCCTGGAACTTGCTCCCGTCATTCGCACTGCCACCGTTGGTAGACACAGACGTAAAGGATGCAGGACCTTGGATGGACTGGTCGAGGAAATCGCCGATATCAATCGAGCCCTCTTCTCCACAGAGCATGCGGCCTGGAATGCACTTGCACTTGATATTCTCACATTTGTAGTGAGTTCTGTTCCGGTCGTGGGTGGTTTCTAGGCCCCATTCGCAGGTATCTAGACCACAATAAAACGATTCCACCTGGTCCACCCAGAATTGGAAATTGCAGGAATGATCCTCTGCCTTACAGGAAAACGTCACCTGGGGCTTCTTCTCCTTAAGTTGATCGAGGATTTTGCGGTTGGTGACATCACACATCTGGAAATTTTCCTTGACCGTGACACCTTGGCTATAACAGACACCCCCTTCGCCTTCAGGCATCATGGCATTGCAAACGTCATCGTTCTGGCACACATTGCAGTTGATGCCGCCCCAGCCATCTTTGCAGTTACAGTACTTGTCTGTCCGTGGGGTCCTCTCATGGCCATCGGCCAATGATCCACATGTCGGCTTCGAGCAGTCCTCGCCAGCATACCCAGGCGGACATACGCACTTGCCGGACAGATTATCGCAGGAAGCAAATTGAGCACATTGAAAGGCATCTAATTGGCAGTTAAAACATGGTGGGCAATCGTCTGGGCGTTTATCGAAAGCATTGAAGAGCGGAGATATAACGCGGGTGTCGGAATAGTTGCTCTGTGCTACAGCTGCAGACACCGATAACGAGAGCAGGGTGGCTAGGTAGAGCTGCACCGGTAACTTTGATCGCATTATGATCGATGTGTGTGAAGAGTGGACAGCACTCGCCTCACTCGCAATCTGGGTCTCGAGCCAAGCGGAGTGACCAGTGCGGAATGACTAAATGACTGATGGGATTAGTAGGTAAGATGGCATTGATTTATGCTGTTAGTCGACGTTCGAAGGCGCTATCTATAGGAAGCAAGAGAAATACAGAAACTTCTCGCAAAAGACAAGGCTGAAGAGAAGCAAAAAACAAGGCACAAAAGGAGTGGTGGTGAGATGTAGGGAGAGATGTAGTTGAGAGGTTGAGACAGTAGCGCAAGTCACCGATGACGCGGGCGGAGGACCTGCATTGGCATGCCGGCTGGGTGCCTGACAGCCTGGGGCATTCACGTACTAATTACTCCAAGGACTGGGGCTTCGGCGTTAGATCCGGGGGTGTTGGGCACGTGATTTGTGGTGAATTCGATCACAATTCCTGAAGCAGGTCAACTTTTAGAAAAGAGGGGGGGAATTCAGAAATTGTAAAAGACCGGGAACAAACCAAAGACCAGAAATTTAAATCTTCTGTGAGATTTCCTGCGCAGCCTTATCACCCTCATCACCCTCATCATCATCATGGTTCAAGTAAAGGAATTTGCCGTGGAGCAGGCATGTACATACATCCTCCCTCCCCTCACAACCCCGCATAAACTCAAGTTCTTTAGGCTAACATCATGGAAGTGGATGGATAAACATGAACATCATGCCAAGTACAACATAGCAGAGACATGCTGTGCCTCTATTTCAGTGAAGGATCTACAAGAACTTTCCGAGGATAAATCTCTGAGCCCATTAGATCTCTCTACCAAGCTTACGTATGGTGCTATTCGAGGTTCGGAACGGCTTCGAGGGACCTTGGCCAATCTCTACTCGGTCAAAACACCCACTCGATTGCCTTCTGATAATGTCTTAATTACACCGGGTGCTATTCAGGCCAACTTTCTTTTGCTTTATTCATTGGTTGGGCCGGGGGACCATGTCATCTGTCATTACCCCACATATCAGCAGCTTTACTCGGTCCCAGCATCGCTCGGAGCCGAGGTGAGCCTGTGGAAATCGAAGGAGAAAGACGGGTGGAAACTGGATCTTAATGAATTGAAGGAGTTGATCCGCCCCAACACCAAGCTGATTATCCTGAAGTATAGTACTCCCCTTTACCTCTTCACACTGTTACCCCGCTCAACATGACTGATCCAAGGTTTTGGTGACAGTAATCCGCAGAATCCTACTGGGGCTGTGATTCCTCAGGCTACGCTGGAAGAGATCGTGGAGATTGCGCGCAGCTCGTCGATCTTTGTTCATGCCGATGAAGTCTACCGGCCTATCTTTCATTCCATTACTCCTATGGAACCTGAATTTCCGTCATCGCTCCTTTCTCTGGGATACGAACGTACAATTGTAACTGGTTCAATGTCCAAAGCGTATAGCTTAGCAGGCATCCGCGTGGGATGGATAGCCTCTCGTGATCGGTCTGTTATTGAGACATGCGCTTCTACGCGGCACTATACTACCATCTCGGTGAGCCAATTGGACGACGCCATTGCGAGCTATGCCCTGGATGCAAGCTGCATCCACAATCTCTTAAAGCGGAATATCCAATTGGCGAAAACGAATCTGGCTATCCTTGAAGATTTCATCGAATCTTATCGATGGGCCTGTGAGTGGGTCAAACCACGCGCAGGAACAACAGCATTCGTGCGATTCAGCAAAATGGGGAAACCTGTTGATGATGTTGCCTTTTGTGAAATGCTTCTAGAGCGGACTGGCGTCATGTTTGTCCCGGGAAGTCAGTGTTTCGGTGAGGGAGAGGACTTCAAGGGTTACGTCCGGATCGGAGTGGTCCAAGAAACCCACGTGTTAGAGGAGGGATTAGAGGTGTTAAGATCTTTTATGGAGGACGGGTATGAAGAAGTCCCCATTATCCGGAAGAAATAAATGATGGAGGGTTGTATGAAAGCGCCTCGAGGTCCGAGCCATAAGTACTTGCAATGTGTTTGTATGAAATTCGAGAGTAAATATGTTTTTTTTTCTTATTTTTTTACATATCGAAGGTACGGAGTAGTATACTTAATTATCAAAGGTCATGGACATACGACTCCTTCACGTTCTTGTTCTTGTTATTTTTATTTTTATCTTTAAACTCTAAAGAACCAACTCAAGTGGGTGGACCCCAGGTACTGTGTAGTAAATGTACTAGTACTAGAGTATCCGTACATACCGAGTACTTACCTTACTACTAAAAGTGGATCAGAAGATTTAGTACAGGTAAGTAATGTTGGTCCCCGTTTTCCGAGAGAGCCGGACCCATAAATCGAGCCGAGGCAACTCCAATCGCCCTTCAACACCATAATCCATGGACCATGGAAAACATCCATTTAAACCCATCCCTCCCTGTACCCTTTGGATCTTCTACACTTCCTCTTGCGTCGTAGCCCCCGATTGTCTGCGCTTTAACTCGCATAAAGCGTGCTTCTCTAGCAGATCCCTACTACAGCTCCCCCAAGATGCCTATCCCTTTACCTGGTATGTACCTGGATTCCTTGATTCCCATCCGAAATGCCAAGAATTATTAAAAACCACCTTTCATTGATGATGACCACTGACCATATACTGGGGATTCAGATATTCCTCTTTCTATCGCTACCCCTGCTGTTGCCACCACACTCGCATACTTGAACGCTAAATACTCACTGTTCTATGATGTGGCATTAATCGGGGGCTTGATCAAGTCCATTTTCAAATCTCGCTTGGCAGAGCGTCGTGACCATCTGAACCTCTTCTATGTACTGGAGCAGCATGCCCTGTCTCCGGCGACCAAGGACAACCAATTCATCGTCTATAATGGCCGTGCCTGGACCTTTTATGAAACCTACGTCATGGCGTTGCGGTATGGCGCCTGGCTTAAGAGAGTTCACGGAATCAAGCCCAAGGAGATCGTCGCGATGGATTTCATGAATTCTTCGACCTTCCTCTTCCTTCTTCTGGGACTCTGGAGTATTGGCGCCGTGCCCGCGTTCATCAACTACAACTTGTCAGGGAAACCCCTGACACACTGCGTCAGAACTTCGACCGCCAGATTGCTGGTAGTTGACGAGGAAATCCGTCAGCAATTTACGCCTGAGCAGATGGAGACGCTGGGTTCACCGGACTTCCGTGAAGGTGGTGGGTCGGTCGATGTGGTCTTTTTCACACCCGAAGTGGAGTCCCAAATCATACAGATGGAGGCCACGCGCGAAGATGACAGCGTCCGAAATGGTCCTGCCCTCCGTGACTTGGCTTTGCTTATATACACAAGCGGTACTACCGGCCTACCGAAACCCGCTATCGTCAGCTGGAGGAAGTGCTGGACCGGCGGCACATTTGTCACCCATTGGTTAGGGTTGGCCAAGAATGACCGTTTCTTCACAGTATGCTTCCCACTAACTCTTGCAAAATTGTTCACTGTCCTTTCTTACGCAATAGGCTGATACCAATATAGTGCATGCCACTTTACCACTCATCCGCCTCGATCCTGGGGTTCGTAACTTGCTTGCTGGGCGGGTCAACCCTGATCATCGGCCGCAAGTTCTCCGCTAGAAGCTTCTGGCGGGAAGCACGGGAGAATCAAGCAACAATTGTACAGTATGTGGGTGAAACCCTGCGGTACTTGATGGCCGTTCCGCCTGAGATTGATCCTGTCACCGGAGAGGACTTGGACAAGAAGCATAATGTTCGCGCAGTGTTCGGGAACGGCTTGCGACCTGATATCTGGGGCCGCTTCAAAGAGCGTTTTAACATCCCCACGATTGCTGAGTTTTATTCAGCAACCGAAGGCACCAGTGGGTCCTGGAATCTCTCCTCCAACGACTTCACAGCAGGGGCAATCGGGCGAAATGGCTCGCTTAGTAGGCTGATTCTAGGAGGCGGCCTGGCCGTTGTTCAGGTTGATCATGAAACGCAGCAACCCTGGCGGGACTCAAAGACGGGGTTCTGTAAGGAAGTGCCACGAGGCGAGCCCGGCGAGCTGCTGTATGCCATCAACGCGGCAGATCCTGTAGAGACTTTCCAAGGATATTTTAAGAACTCTAAGGCTACCGAAAGCAAGATTGTTCGTGACGTGCTGCGAAAGGGTGATGCATACTTCCGCACTGGTGATATGGTGCGGTGGGACACTGAAGGCCGGTGGTACTTCAACGACAGACTCGGTGATACCTTCCGGTGGAAGAGTGAAAATGTGTCCACAAGTGAGGTTGCCGAGGTATTAGGAGCACACCCAGATGTGCATGAAGCTAACGTCTATGGTGTTGCGCTGCCTAATCACGACGGACGCGCCGGCTGTGCCGCCATTATTCTGCAACAACAGCACCAGGCCACCGACCCATCGGTGCTCATACCCCCCACCCAAGAGACACTGAGCAGTCTTGCAGCTCACGCCCTAAAGAATCTACCTCGCTTCGCAGTCCCGCTTTTCCTCCGTCTCGCGCCGGAAATGCAGGGAACAGGAAACAACAAGCAGCAAAAGCATGTACTGCGAACCGAAGGCGTAGACCCGTCGCTGGTCAGTACTCCGGACAAGCTGTACTGGCTCCAAGGGGACAAGTACGTGCCCTTTAAGCAGAATGACTGGAGCCGCTTGCAGGGTGGACAGGTGAAGCTGTAGTGGTTTCTCCTATGTTATGACGATCTATACAATCTATCTTCTCGGTCAGGCTTTTAAGTATATATATGCGGTGAACATCATCCCCGCCTATCGAGCGATGATACTCTGCCCACTCGTTACTTTAAATTTCCTCGGGAATGGGCCGTACATGTGTTTTGTGATATCATTAGCGTCCGAACAGTATTATTCCCAGCGTATGTTAGATGTTATATCCTCCCACGGTCTACCAAAGCTGTCACCGTCCCACAACATGTAACTCGGCACATCGAAAAGCTGGATATACCACTGCTGTAAAGCCAAATGCAAGCCACATGCCCAGATCACACTTCTGAGGCAAGGCCTTGGCAATCGGTCCGACAAAGTATGACTGAGACTGGAATAATACATTAGTGACTGTATGTACTAGACAAGAAGACCGTATGTCATAGTCCAACATGGTAATATAGGACTTATTGCGTATGACAAAAGCACTTACCATTCCAAGGACGGCACCCAAAATCCCAAATACAAAGCTGGCACCGGCAGCAAGACCCATCGGCAAACGATGTGGATTATTCCAAATTGCCCAGTCATAGTCGCGCCCTCGGCGAAAAATCCACGCCTCTTCCAGACAAAGCGCCAGCCATGCCACAATCCAGTAAGACATGAGCGGGAGAAAATTCTCCATGATCTCGCGAAGATACTCGCGAGCGACAATTGCGCAGACGGTGTAGATCACGACTTCTAGTGTAGTCAGGAGAGGTCGCGGGATACGTGGGCCGTAGCGGCCTAGCATTTGGAGGTTGAGACCCGCTGAGTATGTGCATGGGATATTGTTAGAGACTGTGCCGAGAAGGAGGATGACAGCGCAAAACCGGCCAAAGCCATGTAGGTTGCTGAAGGAGGCCGCGAGCAGACTCCCAGGGGAGGCAAGAGAAGCCTCAATCCAAGCTTGATTCGAGTCAATCCCTGTTGCTAGGCCGATGCCTAGAAGTGTTGTTAAAGCCATTGCCAGGCTCATGCCTGCGCTACCGGCGAGGAACATTCGCCATGAATTGGTTGCTGTTGGGAAGTAGACGAAGTAGTCTGCGCTTGCTGGAGCCCAGGTAATGGCCGAGGCGAAGCAAAGAGAGAAAAACGAAAGCCGATCTGAGGCTGTCGCTCTAGGGATATCTGAGGATAAGAAAGGTGAGGTGATGAAGCTTGGCCCGGCAGAGCCAATCATGATGGCCAACGTTAAGATTTGGATGATCCAAGCGTATCTATGGCTGGGTGTCAGCTGAAAGACCCTAAACAAAGGCAGTGGAGGCCAGAACTATCTATGGAAAGGGTTTCTAGTTACCTAGTGTAGAACTGGAAAAGGTGCACACCAAGAGTGGCGATGAACCAGGTCAGAATAGATACTACAATTATACCAACAGGAACAGCTGTACGGCCTCCGGATACGGTATAGATGACCTGGCCTCCGAGAATGCAGTTCACCATGCCATATCCCAACATGGTGAAGATATTGAGTAGACAGCATGCCTTGCTGAGGTAGTATCCAAGGAAGTATCGAGTCACGACCTAAGTGCAATATTAACTATAAAGCCCATGATCATCGTCTTGGTAATTCTTACCAATGTTCGATTCCCACTTTTGGGACCCCAAGTACTCATATACCCTACACACATACTTCCTAGTATAACCCCCAAAGTGGCGCATGTGGTGGCCTGGCTCCAATCAAGCCCATATAAGGATGGACCGTACAGTCCCACGATAATGTTGTTCCCGGTCAACGCAGAGCTTAGCCACAAAAGAAAGATGCGAGTGTAAGTATTGGGTGCCGGGGCCTGGCGCTCATCATCTGCTACGCGTTCAATTCCTCGAGCCTCAACTCCAGACACTTTACCGAATACTCGACCAAATACCGCGATACCTCTTTGAAAGTTAGAACCTTTCAATTCTGCATCGGTAGATAGTAACTCCAGTGTATGGACCTGGGGTCCGGTCTCCTTGACCTGTACTTTTGGGTCGTAACCCTGTTCAGTGTCTGCCATTACAATTGCCACGATGGTTGGATTTGGTAGCCACAAAGAGAGAAGAAAAAATATCAGAGAGCAGGGGAACGGAGTAAATTAATTGAAGATTAATAAAAGAAAAAAAAAAAGAAGTTTAGTCGTAAAGACAATGAGTGGTATTAGAATCCTTAATTATTAGTCCATTGAATTTTATCCTTCTTCAGTGACAGTGTCGATCAGCCGACCTCATTACATATATACTCCTTCACTACCCGGAAGAAGTGTCGAGTGGCGTTCATGATGCAGGAGAGGCACCATGTAATTGCCAGAGTGAGCACCGTAAAATGTTGACGCCTAAACCTAGATACGTGACAATTGCCAAAGAAGCAATTGGCAAGGTAACGGTAGAGGGTCCACCAAGCCTTCTCTCATGAACATGGAATGGAGTCAGGTCCAGAATCTAAATCGATCCAGCTCTAGGAATGTTGCAGATCCCCTTGCTTATCGGCAGTAGCCTGTGCAAGGACTTGCGCATGAATAGCGATGTCATCGTTCCTCTCAATATGATGCTACTGTTGCTTTCTATCGCTGCAGACCTGACGTAAGGGGTTAGTATGTTTGTGTTGCTGAAGGATGCTCCTGTCCTGCAGGAGCATTCAGTCGAAGAATTCCAAACAGCACAGATAAGACACATGGTACCCCTTTTTATCAAGGGGCTAGCTACTTTCTGCTGGCCTAGACCAAGACTGTTCCGCCACATTGCAAGCCTTCTGATATGGTGGCACCTCGACTCAGAGGTACGTCTTATCGGGCAAAAGGAGATCAAGAATGCTCCATGTAAGCCATGAAATTTGATCAGCAGCCATGTGAAGCTTGCTCGTCACGTTGCAAGGTGGACCTGATGACATTTTATGTGTATATAATCTCTGGTCCGTTATATGTTGGATTCAGAAGCCTATGAAGATGTGCGCTATGTTTCGACAATGCATGGGATCTTGCAGACACATTGTTGGCTTTGGACTGCTCCTTGAAACATGTGCGAGGACACGTGATTGGCATCTTTTGACTGCACATGGGAAGAGAGGGAGGGCGTAAAGAGTGAAGAAGAAGACGAGGACCCTATACCCTCAACACCCATGATATCATATCATTGTTTGTCACTTACAGGCAACCATCGATCACACCTTTCCAGCCTGACATATCTGAGCCCAACAAAATCTCCAACCTTGCACTATGTCCCCTTATAAACCGGGTTCTTCATAGTAAGGGGGAAGACTATTTTGACATTTCAAAGTGTCAGTGGGATTGCTTACTCCAGCTTCGATGGTCTCGTCAGCTCGGATAGTGTCTTTTTGGACCACAACCCATGCGTTTTCACCGGAAATGACCACATCGAAAGGGTTGCTAGCAAAGCTCAAGAATGAAGAAGTCCGGGCATTTGCTAGGTCTTCAAGAACATTTTCCAGAGAGATACTGGGTATATGTGTCAAACACCCGAAAGCAGTGGACCTCAAAGCAGAGGAGATACTGTCATCAGAAGAAGTTAGGTCTAAAGGTTTAGGTAGAGGAGACCGAGAGGCAGATCGGCTAAAATGAAAATCCCCCGAGTTTTCTAGCTTTCACCTTGTGTTTTGGCAACACGCAAATTGACGCATTCGTTGTATATGCGGCGATACCAAATAGTCCGTTGGAGTATTTGCAACTGTTGAGGAAATGATCTCGAATTCATCCCGGCGAAAGAGAAAGTCGCCGATGCTTCGATGATTTTATTTCCTAATCTAGTGATAAGTACAATGGCCCAAGATAGTTAGTACCTCGGAAACATCTCTGTCCAGGATTCCGAGACCGAGACCCATTGCCCGCGTTTCGGAAACCCCTCAACCCCAACTCTCGAGATGCTTCTTCCCCCTGTAACCCAACTTGCAACCACCTTTTGTAAACAGCAAGAAAACGAGTGATTGAGTGAAGTCAAGTCTATAGCAACCGTATAAACTCAGGATGGTACTCTCTTCAGCTGTACAGGGGGCCAGGCATTCCAGCCAGGCCCTGTTTCGAGGGTACTCTTCGTTCCGTCGCTTCTCAGTACATCATTGTCGACGTTCAGTGGCCGTTCCCTCCGCCACATCCATTGCAGAATCATTTCTGTCACGCTTCCAGTCCCTGGGGCCGCAAACTCGCTCACAATTTCTTGACGCCAATCAGCTACAGCTCTTGTCACTCACATTGAACCGTCCATCTTTATACCCTGACACCCCATCGCTGAGCAATGCTTCAACGTCAATACCTCCCGGCACCCCCCTCCCGCCAGGCTATCACCTAGTTTACTTCACTCCCGCATTTCTGGAATATGAACTAGGTGTAGACGGTACCGACGGCTCCTACAACCCGGAGACTCCCTTCAGCCGGCGCATGTGGGCAGGGGGCGAGGTGCGCTGGCCGCGTGCCGCAGATGGGAGCCCTAACCCATTGCGCGTGGGACAAGAAGTCCAGGAAACTACGAAAGTGCTTAGTGCCGAACCCAAAGTGGTACGGAAGACCGGAGAGGAAATGATCGTAGTGGGCGTAGAGAAGGAGTTTCGCAACAAGCATGGCGTGGCGATTATTGACCGTCGGTAGGTTCTTATCTTACACTTACACTAGTATGTTCCCATGGTCGTTGAATGTTAATGTTCTACCAGGAACTGGGTCTTCCGTAAAGCACTAGCTGTACCAGCTGTATCATCAACAACAAGTGACCCGGCACCATTGCCTTCAGCACCAGCCTCCTCGTCAACTGTCTCAACGGCTAAGACTCACACCCGAACCTTGAGACAGACAGCCGTCACTCTTTTCCGGTTTTCGGCGTTGACTTTCAACCCTCACAAGATCCACTATTCGACCCCATGGGCCCAGCAGATGGAGGGGCATAGGGACATCGTCGTCCACGGCCCGCTTAATTTGATCTCGATCTTGGATCTCTGGAGGGATACACGGCCAAACAAGGGCGATCCTGCAGCGATGCTCCCAGGGAGCATTACGTACAGGGCGACGAGTCCATTATACGCAGAGGACAAGTACCAGATTGTGCTCGGTGAGGAGGAGGGATCTGGTGTAGGAGCAGTGCAAATTCTTGCTCCTAGCGGACAAGTTGCGATGAAGGCCGAGGTCAGGTCAGCTGAATGAATTCTTGCGGTCTTGTCTTTTCTGTGATGGTTGTGGATAGCTCTTGTCTAAACATCGTGCAGGTGGAGGAGCAGTGCCAAACTCCTTCAAATTCTGGATTACAGGGATACGAGTAGATTTCGAGCCATGCAAGGGGCTCCCGATTTGTAGTGATTCAGGAAGCTGAGAATTGCAGTCGCTAAACTTCATTAACCGCCAGGAACCTGCTCGAGAGTAGCTGAGATATCTGAGAAGCTACATACATTTCTGTTGAATTCGATGGGCTCTGCCTTTTCTCCATGAATTAAAGGTATCACTTGCGGTGCATGGGTCCATGTATCTGGTATAGTTGGGTGCTTGGCGTATAAATCTTGTGCCAGAAACTCGTATGAGTTGGCCAAAATCGGCAAATACAGTTCGGTGGCAAGTGTTCTGTTGAACACGAGTTCATATACGCCCGCACCCATCGGGATAAATCTTGCACCCACAGCAGGGTGGAACCGAAAGTAGTTCCAGTCGTATCTGAAATCATGTTCATGTCGATATATCGTGGGAAGCTGCCCCGTTTCAGGTGAATGTGGCGAGGGCATAAGCTTAATCTTGGAAGCAATCAAGTCGCCATATCTTTTAGCAAGATAACCTCCTGCAAATACAAGACATTCGAGATGACTCGCAGCTGCCTCTAGCGATGACAGATCATTCGACATGGCTTCTAAGGTTGATGGAGTTAGAGCTGCCCAATCTGCGTCAATATATCGGAGCGTCTGGGTCAAACTTCGGCCCGTTTGGGGCAACTCAGGGAGTGGCAGGATGACTGCTGTGTTATTAAAAATAGCATTCAAAACACTGAAGTGTACGCCAGCCGGCTTGATATCTGTCAGCAACATCCTGCGGAAAGAGTGGATTTCTATACTTACGTCACTCAGAGGGCAAAGCAAAAGGCATCTATTGTTCCCAAGCATGGAGCTCTGAGTTTCATAGCCCTCCGGGGCAGAGAGCCCGATACTACGTGCTACATTTGCGATGAAGCTGTGAGATAACAACATGGGCTTCGGCGATCCTAGGGTCAATCAGCTGATGCCCCCTTAACTTAAGTGTTGCTTCTTGATAACTTGCCTGTGGAACACGGGTTGTGGATGATGAAAGCGGTTTCGTAATACAGGAACTTGAGTTCCTTATTATACTCATATCTTCTTTGGTGCTCATGTAGGAGCTGCTCAAATAGAGGCAGCTCTATAACGGAGATCTGCTTTCCACTCAAAGTGGCTCGAACCTGTGGAAAGGCCGCATTCGTCGTGATTATGACAGAACATTCGACGTCCTCTAATAGCTTGTGATTCTGAGCCACTGTATTTCTTTCTGATATCAAACACAACTAGAGCTCTCGGTGATCAGCGACAAGGGCACGGCTTTATATACATGTCTATGACTTGCACACCTTGAAGCCAGCTTTCATGGCCGCAATAAGCGTGATAGAGCACAAGGGACTATTGGGCGCTAACCAGGCCAGTGACTCTCCTGTATTGTCTCTTCCCAAAGCACTGGTAATACAATTGGCAACGCCGTTTGCAGCATTTGCAAGTTCAGCATAAGTAATCTGGCTATATCCAGCATCAAGATTGGTTGAGGAGGTAGGGTATTCCATCCAGAGACCATTAGGTTCATCGCGAGCCAGCTCGTCGATGATAGTAGGTAGCAATTTTCCCTGGGAAGCAGCGTCAATTCGGGGATTGCCCATTTTGATGGGTGGGGAGGAGCACTCGATGAAAGGCATGGTGGGCAATTGACGAAGGAAAAATGGTGAAGAACCAGACTTTAGTATGCACAATAATCATTAAGAAAAAAAAAAAAAAAAGTTCGAATAATCAAAATGAAGGGGACTTAAGGTATACAGCTCGTGAGAAGAAAAAAAAGATAAATAAATAAAAAAAAAAGAAGGAAGGAAATGGAAAAGATATATAAATATATCAGAAGAGCATTCACTGTCACGTTGGAGTCACGGGAGTGAAGTGAATTTAGATGATTTTATCAGTCAGTCTCTGCAGAATTCGTGGTTTCAGCCATTCATATCGTCTCACCTACCCCGCATTGCTTTAGGTGTTTTTATTTTATTTAATTATTTTTTTATCCCTGCAGGAACAATCATTACACTACTGCATAGTACTTGCAGGGAGTACCAATTAATGGTGGTTGAGCTACATGTACTTGTTCTTTCCTCTCGCCAAGTAAAACAACAAACGCCGGTGTGGTGGTAGTAGAAGCTTAGAATGTGTTTTGGATCTACAAGTAAGTGGACAGAGAAAAGAAGAAGAAGAGGAAAAAAAAAAAAAAAGGTGAAAAAATAAGACAGGGAGGGGGGGAGGAAGAAAGAAAAAGAAAAAGATGAGAAGAAAAGAGACATTCGCATGGACACACTGCAAATTGCTAATACAACCGGTCAGGTTGCAATGACTTGCCTAATGGTGGAGACATCTGATGCTTCTCGCCGGTAAAGACCCCTGTTGTACAAGGCAACACCGATCCACCCTTTGCAGACAATCCTGAATAATACTAGGTGAAAGAGGGGCAGAAAATGGCTAAGAAAAAAAAAAAAAAAAAGAAAAAAGTTTCAAGTGGACCCTTACCCTTATTCCAAATCTTTTTCTATTCTTCAATCTTTCTCGTTTACTACTCGGATATTTCATTGTGCACTCCCCAACCAAATTGGTGAAAAGGGTCGTGAGGATATTGCTTAACTGGCAGAGCACCTGGAAAGTATGGTGTTTAATCTATAATCCCCAACAATAACAGAGCTGTTTATACCAAGCGCCATTTCTCCGACTCTCACGATATTGTTCGTGGTTTTACAGACATCTATATGCCAGCAGGCAGTGTTTACTGAGTATATCGCTGTTACAGGAAGCACAGTATCGATTGGAGTCTTATTGATTTCACCACAACTGTTAGCACAATTCAACCCAGTCTGTTGCGATCCATTGAGCACACAGATTCCTTAGAAATCGTTCGATAAGTTAATGGATATATTGTATTTATTCTTACCATTGATATGTGTGGATTAGTATAATACTAGTACTCTGGGGTGTCAGAACGGACTGAGTAACTACTAGTATCAGTGACAATGTGCTCACCAATGGTAAGCCTATGTTGTTTCCGGCAGCTTCTCACATTCTTTATGAACCTCTTGGGTAAAATAAAACTTGTTCATTACCCCTTGACTTGCAGCACGGAGACCCCTATGACTAGCTCTGGAACATACATCAGGCGACAAAGTGTACCACAGTGTCCCACAGTTACCATCAGTTCCCTACCAGATCAACAGAAATCACGATCTTAGCTTCAGCAACGAGTGAGACCAATCACGGTGTGCCACTGATATGTCGCTGTAGTACAATAGTCTACCTCGTCCTTCCAGTTGTGGTTGAGTCAGTTTCCCCCCCCGGAAAGGTCTGATCACAGCGCTTGCACAGTATCAATATGCTTATCATGGGGAAATTTTAGCACAGTCAGCATAAGAGCAACTTCTCCTGTGCACCGGGCTGTAGGATAACTACTGGTAGTAGAAGCTTGCGTATAGCATACGACTACAAGCACCGTGACGTGTGCAGGTGCCATGAAAACGAAAGTAACCCTCACTATAAAGTAAGCGGCTTTTCTCCAAGTCCTGACGTCATCTTGAATGTCTGATGACAGGAGGTAGGGCCAAAGGTTACAATCCACGAGGTGCTCGCAGTATATACACATGATCACCACTTTCTCCTGGTAGAACAGCGATAAAGCTGATCATACTCCGGGAGGTTGAAATACTGTACTCGGTCCGAAATTATGGGATACCTGAAGAAAGCCGCCTGTACAGTTGCTCACAGTACCCCTCTGAAGCGCCAGAATGCCCGGTTTGTGCTATACTATACTCGGAATATCGGTATAGAATGTGAATCCTGGTGCAGAGAACCCCGCGCTAGATAAGCGTCTAAGAGCCTAAACGGGCAGCTAGCATACTAGATTTGTGCAGCGAAGCTATATATAGTAACCTAGGAGTCAAGACTGTTAACCTCCCAGTACAGTGTATCTGTAGGCCCATCCGCGACGAGCACACGCTGACAGAATGCGTGAAGATGCATGAAAAACCCCCCTAAGGATTGGCATGTGTGACCAGCAGGAAAAGCTACTCAAGAGGGACCAGACAGCCAACAGTTCAACGTCGGTGGGATCCTTTTCCAGGGCCCATCCTATAAGAATCCGCAAAACTACCCCCGACGAGTCTTAAGATATTGCAGCACATAATATATGGCGGCGCGTAACACTGATATCACATTGCATTAATTAATCCACGACGTGGGGCCTGCGTTGGCAAAATTCTCATAGGCTCAGACCCTTGGCCATATAACAGCCATTGCTAATGGCTAATTTCTCTTAGTCGGCCGAAGACAATGCCTCGGTCCCGACAACCCAGGATCATGTCTTGCCACGCATCTTAAGATTCCTAACTCACGCTGACACCTTCATCGTCCTCCAGGGTTCAGAATCCTGCGATATTAGGAGAATATATGTCGAGGTCTCGGTCGATGTCGTGGTGGTGGACCACATATGTTAAACCTGGCCTCGATTTGGCCAGTAACTTGTCACCCGCCTGTTTTTCCCAGGAACTAAAAGCTTGCTTCTTAACACAGCATGTAATTGGACTAGGTTGATGCCTAAACACCCATAGTAATTACTAGTTATCAGTCAGTCTGCAGTGGGTATCGCCAGCGCTGGCGGCCAAAGATAGTCAGTCGCCCCTATACTGTACACAGAACGATAATGCCGAGAAGTTTTTCATAAGCTGCAGGCTGAGATCCTATCTTATTTATTGTAAGAACACATCTCGGATAGTTCAAAATATCTTCAAAAAGCATAGTCAGTCCATATTATTTATGATGGCCACGTAAATTTATTTAATTTTAATCTGGCTCGATTTAAATTTGGAAGTGACGGAGATAACGGACGGAGGCCGAAGTCACGTTCTACATGACACCCAACATGTTAGCTCTAGGAGCTTTGGTTTCCAAACAACTTCATATCGGAACACCAAGACAGTGTATAATGTCATATTGCAGATATGGCGGATTTTACTTCTAAAGACACTCGCACTACTTCGTTGTCATCCACCGAGAAAAAGAGAACTAGAGTCCAGCTGTCTTGTACAGCCTGTAGAAGCCGGAAGTGAGCCCTCAACTCAGCATATCAAAAGGCGTGATTCCCAATAATTAATGGTTCGGCTTAGACTTAAATGCTGTCGCACATATCCGTGCACGAACTGCAAGAAGAGAGGTGAAGCCCTCTCCTGCACCTTTGTCGGTCGGGGTCCTCGTGGGAGGACTTCGCATGGCCGGACGAGTCCAACCCTTGTCCAGGACCGTCTGCAGCATCTCGAGAATCTGATTCTATCATTGACGCAGAAAAAGAGCCTGGCAGAAAGTCATGTTATTCATAGGCCAGAAGGACATGATGGGCCAGCGACGAGCCGGAGAACTGACGCCGGAGTAATCCCAAGGACGTCTTCTACTAGCACGGGCTTCGAGCCTAAGGAGTCCCCTCTAGACCCGTCTAGTAAGCTGGTGGTGGAAAATACTGGAACGAGTTACATTGACGGTGCTCACTGGACTGCCATACTCGAGGAAGTCAGTGGACTCCAATGTCTCCATTGTTTATCCCCCCCCCTTAGTTACTTGACTTGTTCTAACGAGACATTCGCAGATTAACGGCGTTCGGGAGTACTTGCAAGAAGGCAATGATATTTCAGATGACGAAGCACTTGACGACGGTCACCTCAATATGCCTTCACCAACTCTTCTATTAGGATTGAACAAAGCAGTGAGCAAAGAAGACTTATTAGCCGACGTTCCGCCACGGCCGGTAACAGATCGACTCATAGCACAATTCATCAATAGCAAAGAACCCGTGTTAAGTATGTACTTGGATCTCTCTGGCGTGTCTCCTGCATAGTTACTAACATGACTAACAAATCCATAGCCACAATTCATATTCCCACTTTTCAAAAGGAGGTAAGAATCCCTATCCGGAATAAGGCTGGCTGCAGACACCTAGTAATCTATTTTGCAGTATAATCTGTTCTGGTCAATACCACAGGCTACGTCTCTCTCGTGGCTAGCATATTTGTATGCTATTCTTACACTGTCAATAACTATTCAACAACGTCTGGGGGAGCCCTTATCGGTCTACCTAGGGGACTCCGGGGACATCATTAGTACCTTCAGGAAGCGCGCCGCACAGTGCCTTGTCCAGTCAAATTACACGCAGCCTGGCAAGTTTAAGGTCGAGGCGCTTTTCTATTATACATTAGGAGAGTTTCATCGAAGCAATGATGCTCAAGTCAGCGTATCCTTCCTCCTTGGGATCACTATTAGGTTAGCGATGCGGACAGGGTACCATCGTGATCCGGGGCATTTTCCCAGCATTTCTGTTTATGAAGGCGAAATGAGGAGACGTGTGTGGGCGACTATGCGCCAACTAGACACCTTGATCTCGTTTCAAGTTGGTCTGCCACGGACGATACAGGACTGGCAAGATGATGTGGAACTGCCACGCAATATATGCGATGAAGACTTTAACGAAGGAACTACGCATCTGCCACCATCGCGACCCGAGTCTGAACTCACTACTGCGTCCTATATTCGGGCGAAATCGAGAATCATGGGTGTGTTTGGCAAAGTCTCAGATCTTGCATATTCGCGGGAAGCCGTGACCTACGACGAAATTCTTGAAATTGACCGTCGATTGGAGGAAGCGTATGGCCTTGTTCCTTTTAACTTTCGAATACGGCCAGTAGATCAATCATTCGCAGACCCATCGGATCTGATTCTCCGGCGATACACATTGGAGATATTGTATCAAAAAGCTCGCTGTGTGCTCCACCGACGTTATTTAGGTGAAGTCCATAGTAATCTCCGGTATGCATATTCGAGATGGGTGTGCATGAGTGCATCCAAAGAGATACTCCGTCACCAAGCAGACTTACACCATGAAACTCAACCAGGAGGGATCTTATATCGCGACAGGCAGTTCCCAAATTCACTTCAGTATGCTGATTATCTGCTTGCTGCGATGATCATTTGTCTAGAGTTGTCCTATGATCCTCCGGGGGAGCCGATCATGAACAGCGATGTAACGGTCGTTATCAAAGGACGCGAAGACCTTCTAACTAGTTTAGAAATATCCCATCAAATTTTCGAGCAAATTCGCCGACGATCGATGGATGCACAGAAGGCATATGCTGCGTTGACAATTATGCTTCGCAGGGTTAAGAAAGGGGGTATGAGTACAGCAGAACCGATTAAAGGACTGGCAGCTGGCAACTCAGATGACCGACTGGTTGATACGCACACCGGTAAGAAATTCTATTAACATCATGCTTTCACGACTACCACTCATGCCCATTTTAGCTCTGCCTCCATCGTATGAAAACTTGAGCGCGGTGAACGCACCATACTCCGTTGCTACGTCAAGCGAGAGACTTGGGCTGGATGTAGTAGAACCTTCTTTCACATCTCTGGATGTGATCGAAGGGATGCTTGATGCTCCTTCTAATCTCGACTGGGTAAGTTCGATGATCCAGGATCTCAACTCTTTAGCACTCAGGTCTGACTCGTCGGTAGCATTTGTGGGACGAACAAGTTCAGCGTCCCACACAGCCTTCAAGGAACAACAACCTTTGGTATCCTGATCCTGCGTTTAGTGGTATCGTAGATAGTAACTCGCAGTAGTGACATGGGATACTCAACGGAACAGGCGATCGTATTGATTTCTGCTCGAAAAGGACATCACTCAATTAAAAGGCAGTATCTCATGCTATCATCATACATAGTTCGCTACTCCTTATATAGTTCTGTTTGAAGACCCTCGGCACGTCCCGAGCCCGCGTGGATAAACTCCCCGAGCCGGAACAGGAGGGAAAAAAAAAAAAAAAGCCCCAAAAATTGACGATTCCGACATTCCTTCTCTAGGCCATTGACCCAACATCACTGTCGCCGATCCTCTCACGAGAACACAACATGAGACCCTCCGTGCTTCCGCGACATCTCAGTCGTCGCATAAGCCCGTCATCATCGCGATCCCTCGCAAACCCGTCGCAGTATCTCCAACGACCAACGATACCATCATCACCAACCACCAGAACGTCGTATCTACCAAACCTCGAAGCACTCCGATCCTTCCATCTCCCTTCCATTTCCTCCCTACTCTCAAACAACGGCAACAGCAACAACAATAACAATGGCCGCACCCTTACCGCCACCCGCACCCTTCCTTATGCTCCGGAATCCCTCTACAAAGTGATCTCCTCGGTGGAATCCTACTCCCAATTCCTCCCCTTCCTCACAGCCTCAACAGTGACCCACCGCGATCCAGACACAGGGGATCCCACCCGCGCCTTCCTGACTGTCGGATACGGACCATTGAGCGAAACGTTCACGTCTCGGGTCAATTGCGACCGCAGCCGGTGGATCGTTGAAGCGCGCAGCGGGGCTAAGTTCGGCATTAATTCGAAAGACGGACAGGCGGGTGGGAACTTTCCGGGTGCGAATGAGGGTATATTCGAATATTTGAGCACGAAATGGGAGTTGGTGCCGTTGGAGAGTAATAAGCCGATGACGAAAGTTGACTTGGAGATTCGGTTCGAGTTCCGAAATCAGTTGCATGCGGCTATGATGAGTGCTGTCGAGGGGCAGATGGCTGGGGTTATGATTGAGGCTTTTGAGAAGAGGATCAGAGATGTTGAGGGAAGTAGCTTAGGGTAGTTCCATGGTCTGGGTTACCTGAAGGAATCAGGGGTGTTTGCGGGTATGCGCTACGTGTTGGGGATGCATGGGGTTTGCATTTACATATATGGTGGGCTTTGTGGAGTTTGGTGCATCTTTACGACTAGATATAGATCGTTACAGCGTCGCGGTGTCTCTATTTAGAGTCTCATTCTTTTTTTCTATTTTGCGATCAATTCGCTGTACAATTAGACCCAGATATAAAGAAACCCTGAACAGCCAAACCATGTAGTATATAATACAATTATCAAGACCTGAAAGGAGGGGAACCACATATGTATCCGCTCTGTAGAACATTTTTCCTTCATAGCATGCTCAGGCTGCGGTTCCGGTTGGCCGCATGCCGTGTACCCTTCATCGAGCTGACCGCGTTGTAGTTATCGAACACAACTTCCCAGTTAATGCGATCCCACCAGCGCTCGAGGTATTCAGCCTTTCCACCAATGCCGTAGTCCATCATCCATGCATGCTCCCAAGTGTTGACACAAAGAATGGGCTGGACATCGACAGCACCAGGAGCCAGGCTCTTCTGGTTCGCAGAGTGAGCGCCCATCGCACCAGCAAACTGGTTGCCCAATGGAGCGTCGGGGGAGTGCGTAGCCATATCAACGGGCTGCCGGCGGGAGTGAGCGGCCGGGTAAGGGGATCCTGCATTGTAGGTGCAGAAGATGTGCATCAATCCTTCCCTCTCGAGGTTCTTGGCCAGCCACACAAATCCAGGGCCAAACATAGCATTGGCAGTTGCAAGGAAGTCGAGCTTCAGGGATTCGATCGAGGAGCAGGTATCAACGATGTCTTTGGCGAACTTGTCCGGGATCTGGGTAGGGGTGGGCGACTATTGAGAGGACGATATTAAATCATTGTCCGTAATTACACGATGCAGTTCCACGAACTCACCAAGCAGTTGAAGAAGAAATGGTTGTTATGAGCCATAGAGGCGTAGTTGAATACAGAGGCCATCTCTGGGCGCCGGGAGTACTTGACCAGCAGTTCTCCAGGTTTCGCATCCGCGTCGACGGTATCTGCAACGGAGACATGTCAGTATGCAATCCGTGTACTTGTAGTTCTTCCGGAATCAGGAATGACTTGGGGTCCGCGCTCTATCGGCCGCTCGGAGAATGAAGCTCACCCTGTGTAAGAAGATTCAATTTGTCAATCAAAAGGGTCTGGTATTGTGTCCAAGCGAAGTCGAAGGCCTCTGGTGATAAAAACTCTGGAATTCCATTGTTCTTGAAGTAGGTATCGTGAGTCAACTGAGGCACACGATGCAGTCCGCGAGTCTGGAAGCGTGGGAGAGCGGAGGCGGGTTTCTGTAGCGTAACACGCGATCAGTAAATCGGGATGACGTGGCCATTGAAAGATCGAACATAGTTCACCTGTGTGAAGGAGGAAACAGCACGCAGCGTGCTCTGCGGCCGGAGGAGTCGGGGAAGCATGATGATGGTTGGCAATTGACGAGTTTAGATGCTCACTGAGAAGTAGCAGCAAAACCGCAGAATTTCCATCGCCGGGCAAAGATTGGACATTACTACTTCGGGACTAGCGCAGATGAAGTAAGCCAGTCCCGTCCACCATCCAATCAGGGGCCAAGGATCTACTATGGTTCTTCACCTTCTGCTTCCAACTTTCTTCAGCTTCTCTCGCCTCTGACGAATATTAGGCTTTCGGATAAAATTTTCTAGCTCGTGCTATGTTTAACTCCCTCATGATGTTGGGGCCGCTGGCACCTACCTTGACCACTCATATCGAAGCCAGCTGCGCCGAGACCCATGCCTTGTCTATTCTGGGACCATGGCGCTTGCAAGCCAGTGGCTCTGCAGCAGAAGCAGAAAGGTATTCTAGGCAGCATCCAGCGCTTACGCTGTATAATATCTTGATTGGCCTTATCTAATGCAATATGCGGATCTCAAGGGAGAGTATCCTTTGTCTGTATCTCGTTGTTTAACCTTCCCCCAAGCCATCAATGGAATAACCTCTCGTCAACGATCCGTCTTTGTCAATTCGTCTTCTTGCTATAGCTGCCTTAATCTGACATCGGTCAACCTCCTATCCTCTCTCTTCCAAGGGCCATCACCCTACAAACTTCGTCCGCGAGAAGCTGTTGACATAGCCAGTATGGCGAGAGCAACTTTCGCTGATCTAGTCTATGGAAGACCTCCATTACTGTTCCTCATATCAGTAATATCAGTAATGATTACACCGAACCATGCCTTCCATTTAGCATTACGGGATTCAGACAGCTGTCCCAGTTCGTACCAGAAATGTGGAGCTGCTGGGCTGCCAGGCTCATTTTGCTGTCCTTCTTCCTCAACCTGCATCAGTCTAGACAATGCAAGCTCGGCCATATGTTGCCCTAAGGGTCAAGCATGCACATACATTGAACCCATCAATTGCAACGTACAGCTGCAAAATGCCACCCTTCATCCAACAAACCCAGTCAAGACCGTCAGACTCGATGATCAGCTGCCCAAGTGTGGCAATTCATGTTGTCCGTTCGGATATAAATGCAAAGGAAACCAGCTGTGTGAGATGGACAATAACATCTCCTCAACCCCAACCCCTAGTGGGAATCCAATATTGGCGACCACCGGGACATCGTCAACCATCTCGGTCACATCCACGGCATCAGACGTTTTACCCACGACTGATCAGTTGAAGCCAACAACCCTATCGCCCTCTGATGCGAATCCCTCAGCTTCAAACTCCCCTTTGACCGACGCTAATTCGAGCTCAGCTTCAGTCGCAGCAGCATGTCCTTCGTTCCCAACTCAAGCCGTTATAGCCGGCTTTTTCCCGGGAGCCATATTTGGAGCCGTACTTGCCTCAGCGGCCATGTTCTGCTGGAGAAGACGTCGAAATGGGCACGAGAACTCTCACGGAAAGCTCCCTCGGCATAACAGCATCTACAACAGTACACCATTCAGCATATCTCACCCTATTCCATCCGAAGAGAGCTCCTACCGCACTGACTTCCTCCTTGGTCGATCCCGCCGGAGCTCCTCACGCTCAGTGCTCCACCGCACAGGGACCAGAGTGAAAAGTCTATTCGGCTCGACCCCCAAAAGCGTTGTCCATGACATGGATCATATACCCCAGGTACCCATTACTCCACCACCGCAGGTCAAACGGCAAGCTAGTACCGAGAGCATCAAGGTATACACTCCTCCAGGTGGGCTTCCGGGTACAGGGATGCAGAAACGGGGCCACTACATATCTATTGGACCGGACAAGGGTTTTGTGGAGATGTTTGATAGGGTCGGATTTATGAATAAAAAAGGCGATCCATGCTTCAAGGTAGCCGAGTCTCCTGAAGCGAGTAGATTCAACCTACAAATTCCACGGAACGGATAATAATCGGGTTTCTTTTACTTACCATTTTGCACTTCTCATGCATGCCCTCTCTTGGCGTCTAGATAAGGCGCGATGGTGTCTGAATTTTTTTTTTCTATCCGAACTCTTTGGCTTACTCGAGCACATTGGCTTCCTTCGTTACAATCCCGCTGTACTTGAGACACAACCCCTTTGTCCCACTGTTAATTGACATATCGGCCCGGGAAAGCCCATATTTGAAAGAGAGATTCATATTAAGAGAGAAAGGTTCTGTAATGATACAATTAGATAGCAAGGGAAAGCCTATGTTTGTTGTTTTTTGGCCTTTAGACCAGTAACAACCCTTTTGACTTCCTTTAGAAGCCCTACGATAAGAGGGACACCAATCGGGCCCAATAAGGGCAGATAAACAGCTACCTTATGTTCATCGGGGAAATAAACCTGGCCCACCATGCTCTTTTCAAAGAAGCTGCGCTCTGCTTCTGTCTCGGCCACCCGAGCATCCGCTAGAGCCGCTTGGAAACGACCTTCGCGGAGGTGCTCACATGTGGATGCAAGATGAGACAGAGTCGTTGACACGGACGTCGCTACATTAGCTGGGATAGGAATGGAAGGAAGGGACTCGGTCAGACGGGCAAGGGAGCCCATGGTTGATGAGGCGGAGAGAAGGAGGGCGGCAGCACGGATCCGGATGAGGGTTTGGAGGCGGAAGGGGAGAGACGCGGGCGTGGCGGGAGCGCCGAGAAGAGTGAGGAGTTGATGAGAGAAAGCTAGGAATGCGGGACGAAGAGTCTCCTGAGACAGGTGCGGTGGATTAAATGAATGATCGGCGGTCGACAGAGGGGGGTTTAAGAGGAAGACACCACCCCACTGAGGAATGATCCAGCTAGTTGCGCTGCTCTCCTTCACAACCATGGGAGACTGTGACGGCGCAGGAACGTAAAGGATGAAGTTGATGGTCGGTCCACTGCCGATACTTGGGCTTAAGGGCCATTCAGCCGCGTTGATGAATGCGCTAAGATCTTCTTTCTTCAGCGTCCAGGCAGCTTGTGTTTCGTCATACTCGGGCAGCGGTGCACTCGGGGCAGAGGTCGCGTAGAGCTGAACTTGAGTATCAACGGTAAAATTGCTTATGGGGGCGAAAGCCTGCAGGAGCGGTGACATGTACTCTTCCACCGCGGTCTTGACGTCCCACGAGGAAGGTTCGGATCCGGGGGTAAATAAAGAAAAGGCTAGGTGATACGTTTCCGCATATTTCATAGACCTTCGCAGACGCCTGGTAATACTCTCCGCGAGTTGTGGAGAGATGGAATTGAGAATGGCGGAAGGCTGCTGCTGATTATTTGACGAGGAAGAGGTGAATGTGTTTGCACCCCCGACATTGCTGTCGGATAATACCTGCGCAATTATGGCCTTTTCTTCTGTGTATAGATTTTGTAACTCTCCAGCGATATAAGCTGACAAGGGCGGGTTTGACGCGGAAGGCGGCGGGATCTGGCTTGGGGGATAATATACGTCTAGCCGGGTCGTGTCCAGATGAAGCTCTGACCGAGGTGCCGCCAAATCCTCCTGAGGTAGCAGTCGAACCGTTAACGCAGTATCAGCTTTTCCATCCAAAGCAGGCTCTAGTTGTTCTTGCACATCTTCAGGGCTAGCGACGATGTTCTCTTCTGACAGCTTCAGGCGAAGGTGATGGGCGGAGAATTCGTTGAGATCATCGAGAGTGTGCTGAGTAGTCCGCAAGAGATGGTGTGCCTCCGACTCTGGCAGGGACGGTGTTTCGAAGTGAATCTCAAGGGGAAAGACTGGACGACAGGCCTGTAGGGCGGTAATCAGTCAGGATTGGTACATAGTATCAGCGAGGATGGATGTGCGGTAAAGTACCTTTCCATCTGCCCACTCGACCATGTCTTGGATAGGCAGTCGGGCCCGGTAGATAGATGTCGTCTTCCACCATATCGGAAACCCAAGGAAAATGATGACGGCCCAAAAGGCAGCAATGACCCTGAACCGGGTTTGGATAGCCTCAGATTTCTCGGGCGGAGGGAGATGCCGCGCGACTGTCTTAGAGCTCATAGTGTCGGTTGCGAGAACGGAGGGAGTCTGTGAAGAACCCGGGTCTTCATTCTTGCTGGTCATGACCAGGACATGCTTTTGTTTCAAACAGCTTTTTGGGTTTGGGGGGGAGAGGAACCAGGTCACCGAACCGCGAAATGTGCTGGTGATGAGTGGGATGTCGAAGTGCAGGTGGATTGACGGCGGAGGACAAGTTGTTCGGGGAAGATGATTTATCAACTCATAAAGCCGCAGTTCAACTTTGGACCTTCTAACAACAACAACAACAACAATAAACAATAACGGTGGTATTTTCCTCCAAGAATTACAATTCGCCCTCGGTGTCTTACTCTTTCTTGGGATTTTCCTTTTCCTTTGTCTTGTTCTTCGTTCCCAAACTTTGGTACTTGCCAGTAATTGTTCCTGTTAAGTAGTCCAGCGTTCTATTGATTACAAGCCCGCAGACCCAACGTATCGCAATGCATTCGAAATAGAGTAGATAAAAGACCAGGGATACTATAAGAAAGAACCGTGCGGAACATCCCCTTAAACATTAAATCCGTCTCGTACTAAAACCTCCTGTAAAATAGAACTATGGGGGGTATCTCAACCAAGGCGCCTGAAGTTACCAGCTAACTTCCAAATGCAAGCCGACTAGCATAACTTTTAATCTTTAATACTCTTTTTCGAAAATCTTCTGGATTGGTTTAGCAGCCTATTCGAGATGATCGGGTTAGCAATCCACTGCCCATGATGGGAGAAATAGAAGAAAACAAAAACCCCAAATTGATGACAAGTTAAGACATACGTCAATGAACCTCTCCAGATCTTGATCCAAACTGGCCAGATCTTCCTTGCGCTTATTGTTCTCCGCAATCAGAGCCTGTTTCCGCTTCAGAAGCTCCTGGCGCGCCTGTTCCAATTTCTCCCGCTCCGCATGTTCATGATTGATGCGAGCAATCATAAGCTCATGGGCGTCCGAGTCTCTGTGTTCTGGAAAAAGAGAGAGGAACTCTTCGGCCGGTATTAAAGGAAGAGAGAGATATTTGTGACTGGTAGGAGGAGGAACGCCTCCGTTAGCAAGATCGGCATGGACAAAATTTGCCGTCGGCATCCACCTACTCATAAGACTCGCACGCCGCAATCTCCCCCGTCAAATGTCTTTGCTCATAGTAGAGGTTCTGCAGCTGAAGGTGTAACCGGTCGATCTCCTGGCGAGCTTCCGCCGTTGATTGTTTGGTTTCACGGACGCGGAGAATGGCTTCGCGATTCAGACCGCGAAGTCGAGCAAGGAGCGCAAACAACTGTTTCTGTTCTTTCGATGCCGCAAGGACGGTCTCCTGGGAATTCGATAATGCGGAATCACCGGTTGGGTCAAGCAATGCGAGGAGCTTGTCACATTGTTCACGGGTCACGGCGCTGCTATTGAGCACGGGGAGGAGAGACTGATCCACCACAATGTCGCGAACCGCCATAGCCGCCATAGCGTCAAACTTTTTTTTTTTTTTTTTTTGTCGTCGAAAGAAAGTCTGGGCCAAGAGGGCAAGTGTGGTCACAGAGAGCACAGTAATCTTCGCAGTAGTGGTGGCGATTAGGCGGAGGAAAGAAAGGAAGAAGGGAAAGAAGGCGGCGATAAGAATTGAAACGTGGGGACAATGCGATTGCTGATGGGCCGAACGATTGATTCAATACAGAGTACGGAGTATGTACGGAGTACATACATACAATATTTACATTTATGGCTTCCATTGTATGTACGGAGTATGTATCGTCTTGTTGGGGGTTTCGAACAGAAAACCAAAATAATCCATATTGGCTGAATTCTTTAGATTTATTTATTTATCTATTGGTGGTGAAATTGAATTATTTAGAATTTATTGCAATAAATTACATTGATTCCTTTCTCCTCAACTCTTTTTTTCTCTTCCCCACTTCTTTCTTCTTTCCCTTCTTCTTTAATTCAACCAAAGTCACTCCTTTCCTTTTCTCTCCAACCTCCTCCTTCACCTCTTTCTTAATTTCTTTACCCACCTCACGCCGGTCTTTTCACCTTGCGAATAATAAGCCAAGAGAGACTTCATCGGTTCTGAACAAATCTCCACTCCTTTACCTCTCCTGTAAGTACTAAAGTCAGTCCTAGAATGAATGCCGAGATTCCGATACCCGAGACCCAAACATAAATTCACTCCAGACGATCTAACGTTTTTGTCTACCTCCCAGGTCATGCTAATTTGATCTGGTCGAACCCCTGAGGTATTGGGCAAACGGGGAAAACAAAAAATAACTAAATAATAATAATAATAATACTAAAAAAAAAAAGAGAGAGAGAGAGAGAGAGAGGTACATTATGGCTTGCTCGGCTCAATCAGTGACCATCGAGTCTTATCCCGATGATGCTGCGGTCTCCAGCGCTTATGCCACCCCGTCCGAGGAGACAGCCTTGCTTCGAGATCGTCGGCGGAGGCATTCTTTCCATGCCGCAAGAAAACTGTCGTGCGACTACGATGCCGATGCAGTCTTTTTGAGGGTAATGATCTCTACTACTATTTCCTCTTCGACTTCCTCATCCTAACGATTCTCTAGGTGGAACTTTTTCTGGCCGAATTAGAGAGACGGCTGCATTGGCTTGAGGACTATCGTCGGTCACACATGGTACAGATCGATGCCAGCTTACGTAGAGGTTATGCAACGCTTGAGGCGGTTAGAGATTCCTGCTCCTACGCCTCTGGAGAACTCATGGGTGGAGGCAAGAAGAGGGCCAAGATCCTAGTGGAGACGCTTGAAGACGGCTACAAGGATGCACTCGCAACCAAAGAGACACTGGAACAAAAGGCACAAGCGGGAGTTCGCTTGATGGAGTCGTTCTTGTCGGAGTTGGAAGCTCGGGCGCATGCGGTTCGAGACCGGGGCTTCTACGGCACCCTGGATGACGGGTGGAAGGCAGTGGATTCGAAGCTGGTCCACGC